CTCTCTCTCTAACACACACACACACACACACACACACACACACACACACACACACACACACACACACACACACACACACACACACACACACACACACACACACACACACACACACACACACTTCACCCTTCACCCTTCACCTCTAAGCCGTTCTGTATCCTGTCAGCCAGACAGTAGACGCTCCTGCTCGATCCACAGGAAGAGTCAAGGATGCTGGAGGGCGGGCCTTCCTGCACAGCGACACGTTTGACGGACAGCTCAGACTCCCGCTGGCGATAGGCGTTGTTGGCAGCCATACTTTCTCCCAGACTTGAGAAATATGGTTGGATTAGTACAGGTGACTGGCATCTACGTATAACAACAAGATGCTACAACAAGCTGAAAACCAAAACCCGGAATTAAATCATAAATGAAAGATCTTATTTTCAGTTTATTTTTGCAGACTGTTGTTTGGCGATTAATTAAATGTTTTTAATAAACCTGAGCGGCTTCATCAGAGGTTGCGTTAGACTTTTTCACTGCCCGTCATTTTCACGGACAGGATCGTACAATTTCCGTCAAAATTCAGTATTACCCGTCGGCCTTTACACTCTTGGCGGGGGGAAGAGAGAATAGAGAGAGAGAGAGTGAGTGAGAGAGAGAGAGAAAGCACGGTCGTGAACTGTCAACGGGGGTGTGGGGGCAGTCGTGAACTGTCAACGGGGGGTGGGGCGCACGCTCGTGAACTGTTAGCGCCGTGTTATGCATGCCCACTGCACCTCGCGGGAGTGCGCACAGCATAAAGCCAAAACTCACAGACATTTCAATGATTTGTACGACAAAGTTGGGTTTGGAAACGGTATCATTTCCTTTTTGGCAGGCATGCTGAACACTCGAGCCTCGCTGCGGGGAAACTTTGGCGCTGTTCCGAGTTTGTTCTAATCCGTCAAAAATGACGGACTGCTTTCAGATTTTTCCGTCATTGTTAAAAAAAATCCATCATAGACGGAAAATATTCGGTTAACGCGACCTCTGGGCTTCATATTCGTAACATAAATATGTTTTTTTCCAGCAAGGGACTCACACCAGAGAGGGGAAGTCTGGGAGAGGAGTAGCCTCAAACAGCAGAGAGAGTCCCGTCTGGACTCGCTCTCTGTGGTGGGACGTCAGCGCCAGAGAGAGGGGGGTCACGATCCTCTGGTCCTGGAGGATAAACAGAGAATGAGAGGGCAAAGACAAAACACAGAAACCTGCACTCAGTCAACCACGGCACGTTACGACTAAATGAATACATATCTACAGTTTCTGATGGACTAAAACATTTCCAAATGTCACCTTGGATTCAGGGAAACTGAACGTGTGTGTGTGTGTGTGTGTGTGTGTGTGTGTGTGTGTGTGTGTGTTTACCTGTAACATCCGGTAGAAGCTGGTCTCCATGTCCTTCACCTGCTGTCTCAGTTTGCTCATTAACTCCAGAGTCTTCAGCAGAGCGTCTGCATACACCTGACTGGAACACACAACTTTAACTCCTTCTACCAAAACTGCAATTATGAATCTCATTTTTTGTTTATGACATGAACACGAAATAAAGCATTTTAAAATTGTGATTCAAAACGCCACTAACCTGAGATCATTGTCAGAGCCGGGGGGGTGGCAGTTGAAGGAGCTGTTGCTGCGACAACAGGAGAGGAGGGACTCGACCTGCGTGAGGCAGAGCTGAGCGCTCACCTGTCGGGACACCAGACACCTGGTGGAGTCCTCTGCACACAGGAGTGCAGGAGTTAAGGCTTTAAAAACAAACACAACACAGAGCAACACAGAGATACAGAGCAGACTGTCATGTGAAGGATATTGAGCAGCAGGCTGGTGACGTGTGTGATGCGGTGGCACTGTTTCCTGAGGTGAGCGTCGCCCTGCGCAGCTTCGAGGCCCCCCAAGAGCCCCAACAGGATGGGTAGCAACATTTCTACGAAGCTCAGCACAGACTCAGACACACTCTCCGCTCCCAACGCCTCCTGCACGCAGAGAGAGGAGATAACATGGAGAGGAAGAGAAACAATGATCAAATGTTAAGCTGTTATTAACAGCCTTCATTTCTTAAAGGTCACCTACTATGCAAAATCCACTTGTTCATGTCTTTTATACATAACCATGTGTCCCCTCTGTGTAAAGAGATTCTGAAAGTTTCAGGAACAAAGATTCTCTCTCTTTTTGTCCTGATCCATTNGTTCAACATGTAAGAAGTAGAAAGTACAGGTATTTTTGTTCCAAATGTAAGAAGTAAAAGTAAAAAGTCGTCAGAAAATAAGTAGTGGAGTAAAGTACTGATACCAGAACAATGTACTTAAGTACTGTAACTAAGTATCTGTACTCCACTACTTCCCACCTCTGCTAACGAAACACATATAAATGGGTTTTATGGGGAAATGGTTTCATTAAGTCAAGGTAGATTTGATGAGTGAATAAGCAGCAAGTTCAAAAAGTTCCTTCATTCTTATGTAGAGAGTTATATAGTCTATACAACTCTATAGGTGAGAAGATAATTCAGTACATGCAATAAATGAACAAATAACAGCCCCTATGAGATGTCACATTCACAAGAGCATTGTCTTTATTGCAGGAAATAAATTGGTTTTATGGTCAAATGATGCCTATAACATAAAAAAGGTGTTTTGAAGGTTATATGTATCAAGTAGAAGAAGTTCCACCTCCATGTTTATCTAAATATCCCATAGTCAGACTCTTGAAATATTATATGTCATGCTTGGGGGAAACTTCTGTGCAGTCACCGACTCAAAGGAGACACGGGGAGAGCTGGAGCTTTGATGTCAAACACTGATGGTTTGTTTGGAGCTTCGGCCGGAGAATTCACAAAACAAGTCCAAGAGCCAGAGGTTCTGACTTCACGGTAGAGTTGCCACGTCAATTCTGAAGAACTCTACCCCAGATGTATTTAGCTAGAGAGAGAGAGAACTGTCAACGGGGGTGTGGGGGGGGGAGAGCACAGTCGTGAACTGTCAACGGGGGGCGGGGCGCACGCTTGTGAACTGTTAGCGCCGTGTTATGCATGCCCACTGCACCTCGCGGGAGTGCGCACAGCGTAAAGCCAAAACTCAGACATTTCAATGATTTGTACGGCAAAGTTGGGTTTGGAAACGGTATCATTTCCTTTTTGGCAGGCATGCTTAACACCGGAGCCTCCCTGCGGGGAAACTTTGGCGCTGTTCCGAGTTTGTTCTAATCCGTCAAAATGACGGACTGCTTTCAGATTTTTCCGTCATTGTTAAAAAAAATATTCGGTTAACGCGACCTCTGAGTGACATACACAACAAAGGGAAATACAGTTAAGAAAAAAAAAAACAACTAAACAACAATCCACAAACCAGAATTAACTATAACTTATAGAATAAAGGTAACTGATACAACATTATTTCCCACAAGTACATTCATTGTCCCTTCTAACCAGAGTGTCATCATCTATAACATACTGGAACATTTCAAGGCCTATTAGCTTTCAGGAAGACATGATACAAGATTATTTTCTGAATAATTAACACTTCAGATTATCAGATACACTCATAACAATTTAAAAGTTGATACTTTTAATCTAGCTTGTGTTATAATATATATTTGTAATTCTCTTTTTCTCTCAGTCCTATCTTCACAACGTGCCCCTCTCATATCTGAAGAGCATTGAAAATGGCTACAAGAAGACGTTTCTCCCCAAAATCATGTGAGCAGTAAACCCGTTGAAGGAATATCTAATCGGTGTCGAATTTCATGAGAATAATTGATATCCTCTTGTGTTCTTTTTCTTTTAGCGAAACAACGGAACTGCTTGCTTACGATGCAAACCAAGCCTTAGATTTTGAAAGGGTAAGACTGTGATTGATTGTAGGGGATGTTTTAATGTGTTGGGTGTATTTTGAATACCTTAAATCTATTTACTATTTCTGGATATCGTTTATTTATTGTGTGCTGTCCGCAGGTGGCAGAAGACATCGAGTATCTGAAGTGTGAGAAAGGGCCGTGGGTGGAGCAGGACAACGTCACCTACCACCACATGAGGATGCTGTGAGTTCTTGATTAATGACATCAATTCCACATTTAAATGCAAATTACACCGAGGAAGACCTCCAACAGGTGAAGTCGGATTCTCAATCTCAGCCTCAGCTTGTCACACTCATTATGGATAAATATGTAAAGTACCTGAAACGAATCACGGCGAGGACTCAAAATGCAGATTCATCCCTGATTGCCTTTTTATATGCTGTCCTCCACCCATAGATCAGCATACATCAACATTTGCTATGAGCTGATTTTCCTTTGCCGTCTGTTTCTGTGTTTTACAGAGTGGAAGATAAACATGCTGTGGCGGTGCTGACCCACATCCCCGTGTTCCTGCCTGAGGTCACCATCGGGGCCCACGACTACGACGAAAAGTTCTACGCCTATAAATCGGTATGTATGAGAAATCTCTCACTTCCATTTTCTTATATGACCCCATAAAGGTACCCTGTTTTTCCACTACTTAGTGTTTTGGTATAAAGTGTGTTTGTGGTTTCTTTATGCTGATATTTCTCCACGCAAAGATATTTTCTGAACGTGGCCTGGTGTCGTCAAGCCAATTTAGTGTCCAGTTCTGAAGACTCGGAAATGCACTATAAAGCATAAACCCCCTTTAGTATGTCAGTACTGCTGTAAAGTGGTGCAGAAGTTAGCATTACAAGGGCTAACTTGAGAAAAAGCAATGGGATATTTATATTGGATTGTGGAATATTGGAGAAAATAAGGTCTGTGGCAATCACACGTTTTTGATAGGAATTTAATCTCCACATAAGATTATGACGGTCCCTGCTAAGCTAAATGTGGATAATGTATACGACGCGACGACATTTAGTAGTCTTTGTCACTTGATAGCAAATGCAGTTTGTATGACACCTATGCTTCGGATATTAAAAGTGGGGATATTTACGTATTTTATTTTTGTTCTATTTTATGACGGAGAGCAAAATGTGAAAGTCCTCTCAGCTTGTGTTTACCAGAGACCTCATTTCAGGCATCATTGGCGCATTTCCACTACAGCGCGGAGCTCGCTTTAAGCGTGTCGAGCCGTGCGGGGCCCGTTTTTGGTTGTGTTTCCATGTAGCGTAGTACCTGCTAGCGGGTACTATTTCACAGTTTTTCTGGCCCCATAAAATCGAGGTTCTTTCCGGGCCAACAACCAGGCTAGGTCGGGCTGAGTATGCTAAGCTAGAGAGAGAATCGCTGGCAAGGGGGCTACAACTACAACAAGATGAACATATTTGACCCTGATTTAATTGTAATACACGTTTCAAAATGATGCCGAAGTAACAACATACTGATACTTGTTAGTAAAAACCATGAATTAATGCTTTGACAAGTCTGCAGACAGACGGCAGGAGAAAAACCTTTTAAAATGCGTGTTGTCTAAATGGAGATTGGCTAAGCTAACGCAGTATATGCTCCGACCGTCCACACTCACAACAACGGCCTATACAGACATAAATAAACCAGCGACTGTATTCTCCATGACAGACAGTCTGTGGTTTGTACTTGTTCAACTTTTGTCTAGTTTCTGAACAGATATGAGGAGCTGTGAGCTCTGAGGGCTAACAGCTAACGGCTGTGTTGTTTTTCTGTGGTTCTCATTGAAGATGGCGTCACGGCTCCGCCTACACTGCATTACTAGATACTGCCCCAGTTCCTAAACTGTAATGGAAATGCGCCATAAAGTGAGCCAGTCCTAACGAGGCCTAGCCATACCGAGCGAGGCCGGGTAGCGGAAATGCGCCATTAGTGTTCAAAAACCCAATGACTTTGAGACAAGGGAACCAGAAGTGGTAAATTGCTGACTCATTTCCGGGTTTTAGGACTCATTCCTGCATACCACACTGTCTTGTTACATATTTGCTGCGTACTACAATACAGATGTCGTGTGTCTTTTGATAAACTAATATCTAATACCCTATTAGCCCGCCTATAGTTCACAGTAAACAAAGAATATGAAGTATTTATAAAAGCCAATACAGATTAATAAAAAAAGAGGTTGTTCTGCTGATCCCACAGATCAGCTGGGGACGTGCCTAATGACTCACTTGTTGCTGTCGGCTGGTCACATTAATTAGCTGTGCTGCTGGAGAGTTAGTTGCCCTTTTAGTTTCAAGTTTTGTAATTATCTGAGGATAGGTTCCATAATTGTGATGATCATTTCATTAAAACTTACAAAATAAAACACAGAGGAACCCTGCCTTTGCCCCCATCATCCTTTTTATATTGAATACTTCTACCCTTTATCTTTAAGCCTGGGCAGTCCTGTCAGTGTAATGGAACTCATTTCCTTTCGCTGAAATATTGAACAACTCGTACTTACAAGAAAGGCAAATGCCAGATATGGAATATTCTACAAGGCTTTCAGTATCATCAGTCTTACAGGGAATCGTTTGGGTCTGACCTTTTGTGTTTATTGACAGGAGACTTTTTTGTCTCCCCTTGCTGCAAAAAATCAGGCTGCATAATTCTACAGGAGGCTGTGACCTGACATTTAGTTGTGAGCCTGGATCTCAGGAGTGAGAGAATGAGAACTGGCACGTCATTTCCCCCGCGGACTCCAGCTGACAGAGTAAAGTCATGGAAGGACATTTGCAACACTATTCTAGTACAGCTTTCATTGCATTTATGAAAAATATGACTTATAGATGAAAGAAATCTGAGGTATTCCCTTTCCAAATGTTTTTTACTCGCATAATTTAACTAATTAATAAGCTATCAAAAGTGAGTCTTTCTGCTGTTTTGAATATCAAACATGCATTTATTTAATAGTGTTGAAAATATAATATTTAACTCTGCAAGAGACCCAATTATCCTGATTACATGCTCTTTATCTATTTAAATTAAAACAAATTATTTAAAATGATACTGGCACTGCGAAAAAGTGATTGAGTTGTTTTGTTTTTAGTATCTATTACAGCTTACATTAACTTTATAGAAAACATTTAATAAGACCCTAAAAGTATCCCTTTTGCAAATGGTGGCAGGTAAATGGTTAATGTTGGTCTTTACTTGCATGATTTAGCTGATAAATAACCTATTAAATGTGTTGAAAATATCAATTTAAACTCTGCAAGTGACCCAGTTGTTTTTGATGAGTAGCTTTTCGGCTATTTCAATTAAAATAAGTTGATTCGAATAACAAAAATACTTCTGCATTGAGAGAAAGTGATTGAGGTATTTGTATGTGATCACTTGACAAAAACAATGGGATATTTATGTTGGATTGAGGATTATTGGATAACTGTGGCAAACAAATGTTTAGGATAGGTACATGTTTTGTTCAGCAGGATAATCTCCACATACAGTGGCGATTCTAGAGTCTGTGGGGGCCCTAGGCAAACATTCACCCCCGCCCCCCCGGAGCGGAACAAGGCAACAAAACTTAAGATAAGAATAGCCTTTTTTGTTACTTTAAGTTTAACTGTTTGTTTTGTTTTCATAGCTCCCTGGGAAGAAGTATGTCGCTGGTTATAACGCAGATGTGGGGGACAAACTCATCTGGCTGAAGTGAGTCTGAGGCCTGTGAATGTCATCCGCTGATCCGCTCGCTGAGTGACCTCCAGCCCACGTGTCCATTATTGATATAGTTCTATCCTGTTATAATAATAATATGTATGTATTAAAATAATCTACAACATGTCTTGTTTTGTTGCGACTCTGCATGCCAGAATTAAAGAAACATCTAGGAACATGGGATCATCCCACAACAAGGGTGGGTCACACTGATTACAAGTGGCAAACAGCTGGAACAGTCAGTTTCTCTAAAATCAAATGTAATCAAGCAAATGTTTACCCAAATTAAACATGTGTCTTACGGGGCTTTACAGACTGCACAACAAGGAAAAAGGAGAAGAAACACAACCGCTGTCCTTTTTAAAGCTACTCCCCCAAAATGATCATAATTAACATGTTTCTAAAATGCATTTCTTACATTAGCTTTATTAACTGTGATAAGCGTCAAAGAGTCAACAATCAAAAAGTGACAGCTGACATACAGAACTGAACAAAGCCAAAGGGAAAAAAAAACCTGTCCATTTCTTACGTGTCCTCTTAAAGAAGGGCTCTCCAACACGTAGCTCGCGGGCAGCTTTTCAGTAGCTCACCGCTCAATTATCGATTATAGCATAGTAAGGTTGCTTATTGACTTTTCGGCCGCGGCAGGACAATAACGTTTTTTTATTTTAGAATTTTTTCTGTCACACAAATATCAAATTGGTCAGTGACGCAGAGATCAACTAACAGACGTGCAGTCAGAGATCAACAGCAGAATGACCCGCTCTGAATCAGGCCCTGTCGCTGCGGCTCAGACACACACAGGGAGGGATTTGTGTTTTTTGAAAAAAACTCGTTATCGTCATGTCAGGTTTTTGGTGGATTTAATCAAGTCTTGGATTGCAGAGTATGAATGTCCTCTTGCTATTTTCAGTTGATAAATACTTGTGTAAAGTTTGTGAAGGCAGGAGGAAAGCTTCCGCGATCATCGTCTCCTCCGTTCCTCCAAACCCCGCCCCCTCCCTGCAAATAATGCACTATTTTGCACCACATGCACTATTTTAGTTTTTATAATGCTGTTGTAAATACTCCCGTTGTCTGCTGTGTTCAGACTCAAGTCATGTGTGTGATGCCACAATCAGGACATTCAGTGTCCTTCTTTAACAGAAGACCGTTGTTAGAAGCTGCAGCTAGACTGCAGAAGCATTAGTTTTTGTTTTTTGAGGATGGAACAATTTCACACACAGATATAGGGAGGCTAGAGCTATACAATTGATTTATTATGGTTTACAATTTAATGTCAAGACGAAGAAGAAAAAGATGGCTGAACAACTGTTCAGTGTCAATCCTCTGGAGATCTCCAAAATAATGTTCAGCTTAAGTCTCAGCAAAACTCACAACATTTCTGGAGCCTTATAGACCCAGAAAACTATCAGAACATTCACCAAGCAGCACTGAACATGTCAGCTTTATTTGGTTATGTTCTACATACCTTTGTGAATCAGCTTTTTCTGACATGAATGACATCTAAATACAGAACAAGACTGACTGACGAACATTAAGTGGGTACACTCCAGCATACACCTCTATTAGACCCTCCAGAAAAACGCGGGCAAAAATCCTTGATTGTGCGGGCTAAATTCCTTGATTAGGAGGGCTAAAATCCTTGATTATGCGATTAAACATGCGGGGTTTTATGCGGTGAAATTGCGGGAAGTTAGGAAATTTGCGAAATATACTAAATATGCGGGGGAAAAGAATAAAAAAAATTTTAAATATTGGGCTGTCTTATTTATTCTCTCTCACACACAACCTGCCACTAACGTTAAACCCCTTTACTATTCAATTAAACACATTCAATGTTTATTTATTGTAAAAGCAATTGGGCTATTTTAATCTCACACACACACACACCACCCCACCCCCCCCACCCACACACACACACACNGAAGGAGTCTCTGAGTGGCTGCGTTCTGTGTAGAGAGCAGGGCAATGTCGCAGTAAGATGATCTCTTGATTAGGGCTGCACGATATATCGTGTCGTGGCGATAATCGCGGACTTGCGATATTAAGTAGGCAAATTAACTCAAACATGTCATGTTACAATTATTTTGCTGCCTGCTACAAAGTGTCAGGGGTACTTGAGTGAGTGACATGCAGGCTCTGCATGCACAGCAAACCACCAATCACTATCAAATCTCCAAAGCAAACGGACGGTGATTAAAGGTAAAAACACTGAATAAAGTCGTTTCATGTGTTTCTCCAGGGCAGTTCGGCGCTGCTAACCGAGCTAGCTCAGCTTGTTGCTCTGACAACTTAAGTTCCAGACGTCCGTGACTAAAATCCTTCATCCGGTTAAATATAGTTAGAAAAATACCAATTGTATAACATTAAAGTTCAAGAAAGGATGGTTTGCGAAAAAAAAATAAAAACTGTCTTTTCTTCAATTCCTGTATTTTTTCATATCGCAATATATCGCAGGGGGGGAAAAATGCGTGCAGCCCTAAGCACAGTGTCAAAGTAGAGGCACACAATTCAAATATGAACCAAAAAGTGTGCCTAATATGTCCTCTTTAAGTACTTTGTAATGCTCGGATTATTATAAATCACAGCATGCTGTCAAGACTTACAGTATTTTAACAAAAAGAACCTCAAAACATTTCTAAGAAAGGTTTAAAGATGATAATCCAAAAAGCTTCATGAAAGAAATCAACATTGGTTTTTATCGGATATGCTAATACAACAAAGTTTGTCCTGTTTTGATGGAAAAACTTGTCACAAAATCAGCTGATGTAGATAGTTAACTACATTGCATTTAGCTGACGCTTTTATCCAAAGTGACTTACAATAAGTGCATTCGACCAAGAAGATACAAACTTGAAGAAAACAGAATCATATAAGTACATCAGGTTTCATAGAGCCAAAACATTTCAAGTGCTACTCAACTGGCTTTAGATAAGCCAGTCCTTTATTAGTATATAAGTGCTTTGTTAGTAATTTTAATCGAAAGAGATGAGTTTTCAGTCTGCGCCGGAAGATGTGTAAGCTATCTGCTGTCCTGATTTCAATGGGGAGCTCATTCCACCATTTTGGAGCCAGGATTGCAAACCCACGTGTTTTTGCTGATGTGAACTTGGGTCCCCCTCGCAGTGCGGGTGCAGCGAGCCGTTTGGCCGATGCAGAGCGGAGTGCACGTGCTGGGGTGTACGGTTTAACCATGTCCTGAATGTAGGAAGGGCCAGATCCATTCACAGCATGGTACGTAAGCACCAGTGTCTTGAAGTGGATTCTAGCAGTTACTGGAAGCCAGTGAAGGGAGCGGAGGAGCGGTGTGGTGTGGGAACAATTTGGAAATTAATGTTTGAATATGTGCACGTCCTTTTCCAGTTCATGGAATGTGTTTGCGAGAGACCCGGAGAAAACCACATGGAGACATTTCCTGAAGGGTGAGCTATTTAAAACTGTATATTGATCTTTTGAGTGACTATAAAGTCAACACCTGCTGAATCCTCTTTTCCCACCATCTTTTCCTATAAACTAGTTTGAGTGATAAGCTACTGGCGGCCATTAGCAGCTGTTATGTTAAGCTATCTGTTAGGCATACTGAGGAGTTTATAGCATACACTTTATCTGATAAACACAGGCAGCAAAGATACACATGTAAGATAAACTATCTGGAGTTGATTTACAATAAGCTGGTGTGATCACTCAAAGCTTCTTTCTCTTTTGATTTTTCAGCTATGAAATGTCAGGGAAAGATGTCCTTTCTTCTCCAAAGGTAGGTTCACATTTCCTTTCCTACGATCCTCCCTCTGTCTGTTGGGTTGTCTTTTAGCTCTACTCATTCTTTTACTTATACACCATTGTATTGGATGGCTGTGAAAGAAAAGGAACGGCTTGATATTGAATCTCAATATGTTTTGTATTGTTTGTCAGGAGCATCAAGTTTCAAAGACTGCCAAGTTCCAAATGCGTCAGATGCTTGCTCAAACTTGTTGTTTCGTTTTTTAAACAGTTCCTGATTCAGATGATAGTTTCACAAGTTTTAGACTGTGCTGTTTGGGCTGAGTTCTGCTTTCAGTTAGTCCACATCAAACATTAGAAAGTTTGAGCTTCTGCACTGAAATGCAGTTATTATGTCTACACTATCAACTAACATCTTGTAGGATGAGTCAAAAATAGATCAATTAAAATAAAACAAGAATACAAATGATGTGCAGTTGCAGTTCATTGCCTGGTACATATGAATATTCCTTAACTAAACAGAAAAGCAGTGGCAAACAAGCATGGTAAGTTCTTATTACTAATCTTTGTTTGACCGGTGTGATATTAACCTTCACAGCAGTTGTGTCTCTCTTACTAATCATTGTTCTATGACACTATCACATCTGATTTGTTGAACTGAACCTTTATTCCAGTTCACAGAAACATACGATTTCACTTTTTACAAAGGGAGATTTTAGAAAATCAGGAATTCTCCCATTGTTGTTCTTACACAAACATACAGCAGCTCCTCAGCCAGCTGTTCAAAACATTGTAGAAATTCTTTATACATTTTGTGTTGCTGTCAGTGTGATTAAAAAGAAAAATTCACAATTCTTAATCTGATCATCTCCAGTCCTAATGTTGTCGAGGACCCCTGAACAGAATCATGCAGCGTTGCTTTTCTAAGCAGCCCAGATGGATTTGAGTAGAGTAGCAGCTCAGGCTGTGCCACAGAGCGGCCATCTGGAACTCGGTTAACACCTAAACAAGCAGGCCAAAAAAGTTCCTTAGTAGCATGGAAAGAGACAAAACAGTGCAGTTTGATCTATTCAAGGATTACTGCTTACATAGTGTACTGTAGTGTAGTGTACAGTGTAGTGTACAGTGTAGTGTACTGTAGTGTAGTGTACAGTGTAGTGTACAGTGTAGTGTACTGTGTAGTGGTGTACAGTGTAGTGTACAGTGTAGTGTACTGTGTAGTGGTGTACAGTGTAGTGTAGTGTAGTGTACTGTGTAGTAGGGCTGTACCCGAATATTCGACTATTCGAATAGTCGTTCGTTGGCCAACTATCCGGGTTTCAATTTCATTATTCGGATATTATTATTTATTTATTTAAAAAAAAAAAATTCAAAGAAATATTTTTTTTTT